AGAAAGAAACAAGCCGAACATGTGAGTTGGTTAGTCGACCATCAATTATAATAGGATTCCTTTTGCTCCCCCCTTCCCTTATAGCATCACCACCCTCCCTTTGATGACGAGCTTGCTAACGCGTTGGTTAACATTGCAATGCCAGTAGCGACCACCTGAACTCTCAAAACGCCCGCCGTAGCCTGCGGCCTCTCACACTGGCTGCAGCAAAGGGCCGCACAGAAGCCGTCCGAAAACTACTTCAGGATAGCAATGTCCTAGTCAACGGCCTGAGGGGTACGGACCGCGGCAAGCCTCTGTTAAAGCCTGCCATCCGGAAAAAGAAGAAAATATGAAGGTGCGTCTTGCACACGACGACATTGGTGTCAACATAACGGACCGCCGGGGACGAACGGTGTTAGATGTTGCTGCCTATTGCGGTTCTGCGTCTATTACAGAATTCTTGCTTAACAATGGAAGAGTTTCGATTCCTCTGGATTGGCGGCATTGCTGTTTGCTGCCACTTATGAACATACCGGGTTGTTAGACTGCTATTGAAGTATGTACGCCCTGACTTCCGGAATCGAACGCTGGAATGGTACGCTCTGCGGTCGGGGCATTTTTCCATCGCGTGACTATGAGGAGCTCTGACCTTATCATTGTATGCATACGCTATCGACAATGCACTGAAACAGCCAATTGGGAGAGATTGTGTTCGATGGTCTCTGATTGAATAGAATGCCCTTCGGGTGTACAGGTGCGCCTTAGTTACTTGTTGCCAGAATTTCACATTGAAACCCTTTCCCCCCAGGTCGCCTTCCAACAACACAACCAATATACAAGCGAATTATCCGATAGCATCTTTCTATCCGCTATATATTGAAATTGCAGATATAATTATCCTTAAGTCGGCAGCAGCTGTTGGGAGAGTAGGAGTAGCGGCGGGTTCTAGTACTATAGATTAGTATTAGGGTTAGGCCTGGCTAATTGGAAGGACTCACTAAGCTGGCGTTGTTGTTGCTTGTGACTGACAGCCGCCGAATTGATTGCAGTATTGGCGCCTTTCTAGGGTTGTTTGCTGCTCCTCGTCCATTGGGCTTGCGAATCCCGTCACTGCGAGAAAGTGAATGATGATGTACGGAAATTTCATGGTAGTATAAAGCAGTCGAGAAATAATGAAGAAGGATGTAAACTCAACACGATTTAACTATTTAGGTCGGATTGTATGTGCGTTTTATATTCCATAACGTACTTACTCGACCGAAGTTAAGCTGACCAAGTGGCCTATATGTGCAAGTACTATAACTCAGACTTGTCAGCAAACAATATTGATTGATAAGGCCAGCATTGATATTGATATTGAACATTTGGCCTATATTGATATTGATAGTGATATTATAAGGAACCACTGATTCTAGCCGCGGTCATAATAAATTGCCAATCAACTAGACACATTCCAAGTTCACTGTCGCTGATATCTCTATTGTTGTCGGCTGTTTCTGAAAGTTTAATAACCTCATCATCTTCGTCAAGATGATCACTCAGAACTTAACACGCGCTAATAAACACGCGAAAAATACGGGTTCGCAGCGTCACATGTTATTAATTGTTAAGGATTGATTAGAAAAGCTCATATTAACATATAACTACGCTTCAGGTCAAATAGTAAGATCATACAAATATAGCCTACCGTAAAGCCATGTCGTACGTTAATACTAGAACGTGCTCTGAAGTATATCGGACCGATTGCTAAGTTAAAGCTTGAATACTACGCATTTTCCACTATTTCAGCTTCGTGCCCTTCTCTCCACACCCGTGGCATCATATTGGCCTTGCCAATGAACCGGCGTACAGTATGAGCGGCCGCCGGCGTGAGTCTCGGGCCGAGACTCTCGGCGGCAGTCATGAGGGTTAAAAGCCCCTCCCTCCACTGGCAAATCTAGACTACCTAGCTGTGGAATGCTTCCTCCTCAAGTACCCTTCTGCCTCTCTACAGTATTCGCTGATTGATCCAGTCGACCGTTCGGTCGGTTCGTCCAGAGTTCGAACCCGATCGAGCGTCGGCTCCTTCGATCGCTCGTGAGATCACGTGACTTACGTCCTAACTGGGCCACCTGTAGGCTCGTCCTTTCTGGCCGGGCTGGCCCCGCGTCCTGCTGCGGCAGCGTTCGTAACGCATTTATTGTGGCCATGACGATGGATCTGCCCATACCATATATATATTACCTCCGAAAATTTCGTCATATATGGTAATATCACACTAATGGACACACTGCTTCTGCTTCTGAAGGGGAAGTTCTGACTCGAGGTATCTAAGTTCGAAAGTGTGGCCGTTCCCTTACAAGATGTCTGTTCTGGAATCGATCTGTATCTCAGACTTCGTAAACCTAGATCGAAAGATGTGATTGGCCCAACCGACTCGCAATGTGACGTGGTTGTAACCCTCTTTAAGGGTGCAGCTAAGCCTCGACCCGAAAACGGTGGGGCGTGGCACGAGTGGGGTTTTTGTCAGTGGAGGGGCTTTTAAGGGGACTAATAGGTGCACCGCCGGCGGTGCGAATAGAGATTACGTAACGGCGCACCGCTGGCGGGCGGCCCCTACATTCGCGCCCCCGTACACTCGCGCCCCCCGCTTAGTCAACAGCGCCCGCTGTAAGTTGCCCCTGATAGAGCCCTTCCTCAGCGGCATAAGGGCACTAAGCCGCCCAATAGAGTCTTCATCCATAACGCACCACAAACCAGATCTCCCTAACAACCTCTCACCTCCTCTTTACCTCATTACCTCGTACGTCTCAATGCAATGGTGCCCCATACTCTATCTTTGCCTTCTGTTCAATGGTGGGACTCACGAGAAGACCTGCTTTCTCTATTGCAAATTTACGCAGCTGTCGAGGGCTATCGCTTTATTATTAGAAGATCTACATGGGAATGTGGCCGGCAAAGCATTGTATATGCTTGCAGTCGATGGCGTGCAGGTTACCAATCTTCGATCTTGATCAAGGAAAAAAAATATGGTAATTGGGAATATGAATATCGATCTGAAGCGCGCTTTTCACAACACAACCACAAGCTACAACCTATACGGCAGCCAGAAGACAGGCCTCAAGACGAGCGGGAGACTGGACCCCTAGACAAGGCAAGGTCAGAGGACGTACCAGCAGACGGACTAGAAGACAACGCAGAGGACAAGCCCCAATGTAAACAAGCACAGCTACCAAAGAAGATACAGCCTACATGTAGCAAATGTCATATACAAGGTCATAAAAGAGGCACAAAATGCTGCCCTTTGCGAGATAGAAGCAGCCCGTGAGATAGGCCAAATTTACAGCGGGTTATGCAAAACTACAGCGGGCGCTGTTGACTAAGCGGGGGGCGCGAGTGTACGGGAGCGCGAATGTAGGGGCCGCCCACCAGCGGTGCGCCGTTACGTAATCTCTATTCGCACCGCCGGCGGTGCACCTATTAGTCCCCGGCTTTTAACCCTCATGACTGCCGCCGAGACTCACGCCGGCGGCCGCTCATACTGTACGCCGGTTCATTGGCAAGGCCAATATGATGCCACGGGTGTGGAGAGAAGGGCACGAAGCTGAAATAGTGGAAAATGCGTAGTATTCAAGCTTTAACTTAGCAATCGGTCCGATATACTTCAGAGCACGTTCTAGTATTAACGTACGACATGGCTTTACGGTAGGCTATATTTGTATGATCTTACTATTTGACCTGAAGCGTAGTTATATGTTAATATGAGCTTTTCTAATCAATCCTTAACAATTAATAACATGTGACGCTGCGAACCCGTATTTTTCGCGTGTTTATTAGCGCGTGTTAAGTTCTGAGTGATCATCTTGACGAAGATGATGAGGTTATTAAACTTTCAGAAACAGCCGACAACAATAGAGATATCAGCGACAGTGAACTTGGAATGTGTCTAGTTGATTGGCAATTTATTATGACCGCGGCTAGAATCAGTGGTTCCTTATAATATCACTATCAATATCAATATAGGCCAAATGTTCAATATCAATATCAATGCTGGCCTTATCAATCAATATTGTTTGCTGACAAGTCTGAGTTATAGTACTTGCACATATAGGCCACTTGGTCAGCTTAACTTCGGTCGAGTAAGTACGTTATGGAATATAAAACGCACATACAATCCGACCTAAATAGTTAAATCGTGTTGAGTTTACATCCTTCTTCATTATTTCTCGACTGCTTTATACTACCATGAAATTTCCGTACATCATCATTCACTTTCTCGCAGTGACGGGATTCGCAAGCCCAATGGACGAGGAGCAGCAAACAACCCTAGAAAGGCGCCAATACTGCAATCAATTCGGCGGCTGTCAGTCACAAGCAACAACAACGCCAGCTTAGTGAGTCCTTCCAATTAGCCAGGCCTAACCCTAATACTAATCTATAGTACTAGAACCCGCCGCTACTCCTACTCTCCCAACAGCTGCTGCCGACTTAAGGATAATTATATCTGCAATTTCAATATATAGCGGATAGAAAGATGCTATCGGATAATTCGCTTGTATATTGGTTGTGTTGTTGGAAGGCGACCTGGGGGGAAAGGGTTTCAATGTGAAATTCTGGCAACAAGTAACTAAGGCGCACCTGTACACCCGAAGGGCATTCTATTCAATCAGAGACCATCGAACACAATCTCTCCCAATTGGCTGTTTCAGTGCATTGTCGATAGCGTATGCATACAATGATAAGGTCAGAGCTCCTCATAGTCACGCGATGGAAAAATGCCCCGACCGCAGAGCGTACCATTCCAGCGTTCGATTCCGGAAGTCAGGGCGTACATACTTCAATAGCAGTCTAACAACCCGGTATGTTCATAAGTGGCAGCAAACAGCAATGCCGCCAATCCAGAGGAATCGAAACTCTTCCATTGTTAAGCAAGAATTCTGTAATAGACGCAGAACCGCAATAGGCAGCAACATCTAACACCGTTCGTCCCCGGCGGTCCGTTATGTTGACACCAATGTCGTCGTGTGCAAGACGCACCTTCATATTTTCTTCTTTTTCCGGATGGCAGGCTTTAACAGAGGCTTGCCGCGGTCCGTACCCCTCAGGCCGTTGACTAGGACATTGCTATCCTGAAGTAGTTTTCGGACGGCTTCTGTGCGGCCCTTTGCTGCAGCCAGTGTGAGAGGCCGCAGGCTACGGCGGGCGTTTTGAGAGTTCAGGTGGTCGCTACTGGCATTGCAATGTTAACCAACGCGTTAGCAAGCTCGTCATCAAAGGGAGGGTGGTGATGCTATAAGGGAAGGGGGGAGCAAAAGGAATCCTATTATAATTGATGGTCGACTAACCAACTTAAAATTTCGGCTTGTTTCTTTCTTAGTCCAGTTCGGTTTTTTTCGTATCGACAGACCTGGGCAAAAGATCGTCGGCGGCCGGGCGGATATAGCGGATCAAGTCACGGAACGCCTGCTGTTCGACGTGGGCAAAGGGGAGGCTGCAGGATACCGTGTAGCGACAGTATAGCTCACGCAGAGTGACAGGACTCAAGGCATCTTCCTCCATAGCCACCTTGCGTTTTCTAGTGGGATGGAGGTTCCCTCCCAACAAAAAGGCAGAAATACTTCCAAGACGGCTTTTTGTTACCTCCGTGCTGGCCTCGCGTTTGCTGGAGACCACAATGTTGTGCTCCTTGCGCAGGTGCGTAACGATGGTCGACGTACCGCCTAAATATTTGTATCGCTTTGCCCTTTTCTTGTCAAAGCAGGGCTGGTAGTGCCACCATCGCGTGCTGTCAGCGTCGATCCAGGCAGCTGGATTGATCTTGCCCTCCGCCGGGCGGCAATGAGCCCAAATCGAGGCTGTCTTTTGGCGAAAGACGCTCGATGCCACCACCTCGGGTGATGGTGCTATCGAAGCGGTCGACGTAAATGTCGACAGCTCATGCATCTGAACGGCGGTGCCTCACCGAATTCCCGGATGAATTTCTCCTGCAGATCGTAAACTACTTGAATAACAAAGATTGCAGCCACTTCTTGCCAGTGTGTCGTCGTTTCCTTTACCTCTTGATCTACGACTATCACCGATACGATAACCATGGTCGGACGCTTCTGATCACAGCGGCCGCTCTGGGACATGTGAAGTCGGTTATAGACTTGCTTCTAGCGGGCATCGATACGCCTCCAAACAGACTGCCTCCGATCGTGACAGTCTGGGTTGAGCCGCCGCCAAACAGACCGCTTCCGGTAGGAACAGTCTGGGCTGGGCGTCCAAACAGACCGCCTCCGCCGAAGACAGGCCGGGTTGAGCCGCCAAATCCAAAAGAAGCGCCTCCGCTAGGGATGGACTGGGTTGAGCCTCCAAACAGAGCTCCTCCGCTAGGGGTTCCGCCAAAAGGAGACTGGGCTGAGGTTCCGGGAACGGCGGATGTGCTGGAGGCTCCAAACAAGACAGGCCGGGTTTCCACGACGTCTGACCTTTCGGCAGATATCTTTGCGAGAACAGGCAAACCATTTTTAGTGTCGTCGGCAAGGTGCGCGTTCTCAAGTGAGGTCAATTCGTCATAACTGCCCAGGTACACAAATTGAAAGAACCGATAAAATGTGTCTTTATCGGAAACTTCAAGATTCACACAAGCGTGGGCGCCTTCAACTGCACTCTGAACCAGTGCATCGATGGGGGCAGAGTCCGGCAGACAAGCGTGATAGTATTGATAATGGGGCAGTAAAGCAAAACCCATTGCTCCCATTCATCATCACAAAGCAAGCTTTCGCCGTAAGGATTCTATCGTATCGTAATGGTTAGAAAAGGTTACATGGCAGCAGCATTGGTTAGGAGCACTCACTCATCGACTTCCCCATCGCCGACACTCGGCAAACCAGTATATCGCTGAAAGACGGGACTTGACATCTTGATTTGAACGCATCGAAGTCTTTTGGACACCGCGGCTTTCTGCTCAATAAAATGCAGGCGCCTTTATCATATATGCAGTTGTAACGCAGTGATGGGACATAACTGCGCCGCTCATGGCAACAGCGACGACTGAAAACAGCACGCTACTTTTTGATGATGGCCCTAAGCTCAGGTCAGCAATCGGTAATGAGCCTCGGAAGAAATACTCGTTCCATAGTATCTGTACAGCACCAGAAAAGGGTATGGTATCGACACCATGGCTGGTTACTTTCTTGCTGCACAATTCATTTCACTGATACTTTCAAGCCCATGTGGATGTAACAACTGCGTCTGGGAGCTGTGGTCTGTTTGACGCTAGCAGCTTCCACCTACCCGCTGGCGCAGCGTGGGGCAAAGAGCGAGATGCTTGCTGCTTTCTGTTTCAGTACCAACTGCCAGCCCAGCATTCTGCATACACCAAGGGCTATGTATATAGTAGGTTTGTCTTGTTTGCAAGGTCTCACTGGAGAATAGTTTTCGACCTTTGGCACATCTCTCTGATTTTCTATAATGGCTTTCATAACCTCGGCCGATATTGATGAACTGATGGACGAGCTTTTTCCTCCTAGCCAACAAGATACCACTGCTGGGGAAATAGATGCGCCGTCTCAACCAGCGGATGCAGACAGGCCGATCTTAGATGACGATGGTGGTATGCAGATGGCAGATGCTGTCGATGCGGAGGCGGGTTCAGAGGATATAGACGCACAAATGGTAGATGATTCAGATACGCAAAATCCAGTTTCTCTATGCTCGAGCAGAGATGACTTCAATATCAGGGATGCTCAGACGAAAAATCTTGCAAAGAAAAAAGCTGGGCACCACAAACCCGGTGATGGCCATTTTTGCCCAATATGCGAAAAACCCTTTCTACAGAGGGGTGGCCTCACCCGTCATTTGGAAGGGGTTCATATTGGGCCAGATACCGTCTTTTACCAGTGTCGAGATAGTCATTACCGAACGACAAGAAAGTCCAACTATGAGAGACATTTCCACAAATGTGTGGTGAAAGGAGAAACGACGGGAAGTTTCTACTGCCGCTGCGGAAGATCGGATGCCAACGAAACACTGCATATCGCTCACGTCCACAAATGCAGACCTAAACGGCCAGCGAAGGAGAAACGCACTTAGCAAGAGGCGGACCTCTCCTACTGCGGAAGATGCTGTTGTACCAAACCATGACATTGGGTAGTGCCGGGAGCCTCGGAACTAGTGCCTCACAAGACTGTGCCTCGCAAGGATCTGCTGATTTATTCTAGCGTCGCGACTCATTCAAAGCTGTGCCTTGCAAGGCTTTGTCTCATTAGTCGTGATGCCTCATTCGTAACGGTGCCGCACTCGAAGTGGTGTCTCATCACTATCAGCGGTGCCTATTTAAGCACCGCCTAGCGAAACACCGCCTGTAGAGGCACCGCCTGTAGAGGCACCGCGACGCTAGAATAAATGAGCAGATCCTTGCTGGGCACCGCCTTGTGCGGCACTGCTGGTAGAGTTGAAGCAGGCATCTTTTTTTACAGCATCAGTAATCAGTAGCTTAGTTCCAAAGTGGTAAAATATCAGTGTGGATTACTCAATGTGCAGATATAGAAAACGTGTGGACTTCTTCGTGTGCTCTGGGAGTGGATTGAAGTAAGACTCGGTGTAGCCTGTCCTTAGATGCTAGATGTACAGGAAACAGATAGTGTGAAGTTCTTGGGGAGGATAATGCGGCACATCGTTGTGTAGAGGACAAGGTGGTGGGTGTGTAGGGCGCAAAATGGTGACTGTGTAGTGGCTGGAATAGTTAGTGTGTAGCGATTGAAATGGTTAGTGTGCATTGATAGATAGGGTTGCGTGGCGAGTGTTACAATATGGAAGAACCCGTGGTTTTTAGAGCAGGATGGTTTTGAGGCACCACCTAGGGAGGAATTGTTGGTAGTGGCGAGGTACTTCATAGTTAGGTATCACGGCCTAGCTAGACACCATTCACAGCGGTGCCTCCTTCACAGCAGTGCCTCAGGCGCCGCCTGCTGTCTGCGGCCTAATATCTGTAGTGGCGTGCCACGGCGCTAGGATCCCCGTTTTGGTCTTCGGTACCACACCTGAAGAAGCGCCGAAACAGAAACCATATCGCACAATGGTGAAAACTATCACCACTGCGCAAGTTTTGAAAGAGTCGCACGCCTCTTCGATAAACTCGCATCACTGAATCAACACCTCGACTCCCCTTCTCACCAGCATGAGCTCTACCACTGCCCAAATAGGCGTTGCAAACGATATTTAAAAACTCTAGCGGCCGTCATAAATCATCTGGAGAGTGAGAGTTGTGATCAAATGCGTTTTGAGGCAGTACAGACGAATATTGAGCGTATCTTTGATCCCAGCCGGATGATACAAGCACGTCTGTTGCAGTTGCAACCTTGCAATCGCCGAGATCACTGTAGCGCTCTCGTAAGCGCCCTGTCGTCACTCGTCGGGCCGTCCTGCCCCTCATTTGCTGCATCTCGGTGCGTTTGTAACACAGCTATAGATGGGATGGTAGGCTGGCCTATCTCAGCTAGGCGCAAGAGGGCGTACGAGAGTACGAGGTTGCAGCTAACTTAGAGGTGCATGCCTACAGTCATACGAGGGCGTCGCGATGGCTTTGCAGATCTATTCCATAGCGCGATGGATCTGTGTCAATTCGCTCTCTATCACAATGTTAGTGATGAGAGCATGGCAGGAGGGAGCTTCCAATCCCACGCACTCCCACTTCCAGCATCAAATTCAGAGGCAGCAAAGCAAATGAGAGTTGTGGCCGGACTTGCAGCATGTGGGAAGGCGCTTGAGAGGCACCTGTTTCGTGACTCTTTCTTGAGGCACATAAACTGGATGGGAAGATGCACTCGCGACTACTGACCGCCTACATCACGCCTACGTACGCGCGGCTCTGGCAAAAGTGCTACCAGTGGCACAGGCGCAAGGCCAGAACCGTGGAACTGAATTGGCGATCGACGAGGTCGTGACGGCTATAGGTCGATGGGCTCGAGATGAGCAAGCACTGAGATCCGGATTAGAGAACATCTGTGATAAGGCACTGAAGTGCTGGGCGCTAGCTCAGCGGGTGGAGGACAGGATCTAGCCAGAGTTCGAGTATGAGCTACCAGAGGACTGGCAACCACTACCATTACTATGCCGGCCCGCCGCACCGACGGTCAATACGTCAAACAGAAAGAAAATGCCGAAAACAGACAACAACAACTCACAGAACGGTGCGCCAAACCACGAGCCACGCGAACTCCTCAAGAGCGAGGTTAAAGTTGTGTGGCCGACAATTTTCGCTGCTGAGCCACAAGTTCCTGGCAGCTCTGACGCGACGGCTTTAGAACGGCTGCACTGCGGATACGTCCTCACACAAGCTCAAAGCCAAGATGCCGAAGAGAAAATATCGCATAGGGCAGCCAGACGGACTAGGCGGGCCGACTCGGTGCCGCACAAGAATCGACGAAACTCGGGCGTTTTTTTATCTGGTGGCGTTTAAAGTGGTTCCAGCGGGAAATGAGGCCAATATATCGACAATCACAAAGGGCCAGTCCATCAGGTGCGCCGCCATACTCAGCCGCTTGCTTCTGAAAGAACGGGGGAAATGGTCTCAGTAGCCTCTTCTGGTGTTGATTGCAATTCTTAACTTCTATGGCGCGCAGTTTTAGGGCTTCAACAGCCCAGAAAAGCCTACAAAGCGACCTTCAACTTCGCAATGTAGCAATAAGGAACCAACGGTGGCAGGCTCGATCTGACGGAGGGTTCAGTTGGAATGGCTTACGCGAGAAGATGCAGACGCAGCAAAGTAAAATAAAAACATGTGCATTATAGATGCAGATTCTTGAGATGACGTAGTATCCATCTTGGTTTCGAATTTGGAAGGTCTTGGTATCGCTACCGGCGGAAATTTGGAAATAAAGAGTTAAAGCGTGCCAGGCCATAAGCAAGGAAGACAGGTCACAAAATAGTCCGCAGAACCTCTGCTGCTTCTACTCTCA